AGAATACAAAACATCAATGGGGGAGACAGCAAAACTGTCCTTGAAGTTGGCATTCCAGCCCCCAATATGATGTAGAATACAAAACATCAATGGGGGAGACAGCAAAACTGTCCTTGAAGTTGGCATTCCAGCCCCCAATATGATGTAGAATACAAAACATCAATGGGGGAGACAGCAAAACTGTCCTTGAAGTTGGCATTCCAGCCCCCAATATGATGTAGAATACAAAACATCAATGGGGGAGACAACAAAACTATCCTTGAAGTTAACATTCAAGCCCCAATATGATGTAGAATACCAATATTATAATATGCACAATAAAAACTAATTTCTAAAATTTACAGTAGGGGAAATAATTGTGATTACTTATTGGACATTTCTTATCTTGTGTAGGTAGATTAATGTAGTGGTAGTTTTATCACTTTCCCTATATAACACCTGCTACTGCGGGGATTTGTTTTAGAACCATTGAAGATCTAGATAGTAGTTATAATAATGGTTAGGTTTAATATGGTAATACCTTAACATCGTGGTATTTATGTACAACCATCATATTGGGTGCTGGAATGCCAACTTCAAGGACAATTTTGCTGTCTTCCTCATTGATGTGTTTAAATCACCATTTTCAACTTTGGATAAATATTTTCTATGTTTATTATAAAACATTTAAAGTTTTCTCCTCGAACCCATTAAAAACTAATTTATGTACTAGTACAAGATATTAAGAACTGTACAAATTGTATAATACCTAACAAGCTGAGAGTCAATAATACTCAACTTGATGTCATAACCGATATAATGTCACCCAAATACATTGGGGACATCTCATCTATCAGACAATATCTAAACAATTATGATAAACTAACCAGCTATCATGGTACGGAGCCGAGTGTTTACACCCACAATGTCTCAGCTCTTACTGGCTTTCACTGTCTGCAGTCAGGTGTGGGAAGGTAGTTATCTTGAAAATTTTTAAAGTAGAAATGAAGCCACACTAAAATTTCTACTATATAAAACTCCCAACCTCCACCCTTACAAAAATATGTTAAACTCAACTAAATTATATCAAACAAAACTACAAACCCTACTTTAATAATCTTACATTTCCAACTTTTCTCTTAATGATTTATTCAAGTATAACACGGGAAAACCGAGACAAGCCCAGCTACTTGAAGTTAGTCTTTCCGTCCCGGCATACTGAATAACGTTATATTTTCAAAGTTAGTTAATTATATACCAAGAGTAACTAACGACCTCTAATGTCTCCATAAGGTATTTTACATAACCGATAGTTTATTTTATTTAAGATATTCGTATTTATTATAATAAAGTGTAAAGAATTTATTTAATAGCCAGTCTCTTTATATCCGTCATTTTTCAGTTTATTTATAAATAATAAACCATTATCCATAAAAGAATTACTATGGTTACAGACTATTAAGAAACTTGTTAACTGAGATATAATATTATAAACGGGGGTGGGTAGAACAAGGATGGGAAAATTAAATGCCTTCACACAACTGGCTACAGACTGTGAAAGGCAGTAAGACATTGTAGGTGTAAGCACTCAGCTCTGTACCCTTAATTCATATTCCACGATAGCAGGTTAGTTTAACATCAGCGTTTGGATATTGTCTGGTAGATGGGATATCTCCAAGATATTTAGTTGCTATTACCACAGGCATTATATCAGTTAGGACATCAAGTTGACAACTAGAACCGACAATGGCTGTGCTTATTTTATACTAAGTTCATCATTGTTTTATAGTGCTGATTTAATCGCCTATTAACAATTAATGTAACTAACAGTATTACAGCTATTTATTCACATATTCACCAAAAATCAGATATTTTGCGAATTCAATATTACGTTGGTTTTACTAAATGCATTAAAAATTAAAGACGCCGTGCCGTTGTTGCAAGTGACGTACATTAATATTTCATATGTTATAGTTCAATCAGAAACCTGTACTCGATATACGTTTCCAATAGTCTTGACTTTGAGATAAAAATGTTTCTATTCACTGGTACAGAATATTGAATATCTAGGCTTAACTACAACTGAGACTACCTTGTGAATTTTACCTGAACTTTAATCATACAGACTTCCTCTGTTTCGATCAATCCGTCCACTAATAAAGATTAATTTATGATATTTTTCAAATTAATTATAACTTTCTCAAGCTGGATATCAATAAACATCTTGCGTTAAAGAAAAATTAATAGGTTTCTTTCAAAAATTCGATCTATTAAAGGACTTCACGCCATATCTTTGATGTTCTTAAAAAATATTTAAAAAAATCTTGTTTAGTAGCTTTCATTAAATCCAACAAAGAAAAGAAAATTAAGCAACGATACTTAAAGTAAAGTTACATAAACTTCTCATGTCGCTTGATGATTTAAGTTAAAGCTTCCAGCTGGTACTAAAGATGTTTTAAAAACGTCGTTATTCTCATCTAAACTAAAAATGAAAGCAAACTTTAACTAATTATTG